GGGTCGTTATCTCCCGGGGGGTCCCAGACTGTGAGAGGGCACAAGTGGGGCTGAGGGACACACACCCCCAAGTGCACAAATTTTTGTGCACCGGGCCTCTAGACCTATATAAAAGCCTAATATGCAAATTGTCCCCTTGGGTGGTCATTCGACAGGGAGTTCAACCACTCACTATGACGTGCGCTGACCACCAGGGGGGCAGCACGGAACATGGCGGGAGTCAGCGACATGGTGCTGGCAGCGGGTGACAGTGGAGGCACTGCTGGCCCCAATGGGCCCTGATGAGAGCAGGACCACAGCAGGATGGTGGAGCAGGTGAGTGGGTGGCACAAGGTCAAGGCAGGTGAAAGCATGGGGCTGATGGCCCCACCCATCACCCAGCAGACAGTGACCAGTGGCAGGGTGCGGGCAGGAGGGGCAGGGCCACTGCCTGGCTCCCAGGCACTGAGGGAGCCAGGCAGGGAGCCCCTGGCCCCAACTGATCGCCCCACAGGCGGGATGATGGAGTAGGTGAGGGGGCGGTGCCAGGCAAAGGCTGGGTACCAGGTTGGCTACAAGACTGCGAGGCTGGGGGCGTGAGCTGGGGCCCAATCTCCACAGGCCACCCTGAGAGACCCCACCTGTGCATGAATTCATGCACCAGGCCTCTAGTATCTCAATAAAGCTGGAAAACATTAAAATTTAACTTTAACTGATGAGTTGAATACTTTACTCATAAACTTTCAATCAAATGTTGTTTTTAAATATTTTAAAGGTTAAACAATAACAGCCACTGTCTACTATGACTACTAAGTTAAGGGCTTTCTAGACATTATCTCTACTCTCACAACCCTCCATGATCAGTATTATTATGCCTATTTTACAAATAATGAAACATACATTGAAGCTAAGTAACAGATACTGATAGAGCTAGAATTTGAACCTAGATCTCTGAGTCTACAGTTCCCCCATGCCAGGCAAACGACAACATTAATGGGCAAAATCTCTAGTCTAAGGAGATTAGCTCGTAAGTAAAATCTTCAGATCTATAGCTGACAGTATCTGATTGTATAGGGTGGGGCAAAAGTAGGTTTACAGTTAGTTATTCATTTGGCCAATAAGTAATAATACAATAAATAATAATACAAGAATAAACCCTATTTCGCATAGTCACAACTGTAAGCCTACTTTTGCCCCATCCTGCATATCTTAGTAGGATATATTTTAAGGACAAAAAGAAGTACAAAAATCTTGAATTCAGTAAGTTTGTTATGGTATTGGTGGTACAATACTGAAACTGTTTTTTGTGTATGTTGTAACTGCCCTCCCCTGCAGGCCTGATCGCCCACAACTGCCCTCCCCTACAGGCCTGATCGCCCGCAACTGCCCTCCCCTGCTGGCCATCTTGTGGTGGCCATCTTCTGGTAGCCATCTTGTGATGATGTCACGCGAGGGCATTGCGTCACCTAGGCTTTTATTATATAGGATGATTTTGTGGCAGGTTTATCTTGATTTGACATTTTGAGAACTTAAAAGAAAAATCCTGAAAATAGCGAAGGGGTAGGGATGAGATCAGTAAGGAGAACCCACCTCCATCATTACTAACTTATCAGGATATGCCAGATCTCCAGGAGCCGGCTTGTAGCCAATGATGTCTGTCTGAATGTAGATGTGGGTTCTGTAGACGAGCCGCTCTTGTACATCTTCCAACATCTGCTTTACTCCAGCTGCAAATGCCCCTAGTTGTTCAGCTGATTTAAAAAAAAGTACAATCACCCATTCTTTCAGATTTAGAAAAATACTTTCTTTAAATAAGTAAATATATTACTAAATTATCTAGTAACAGTATGAACCACTTGCATCATGGTCTGAGGTTATATATATCTACTCTATTTCAGTGTGACTCAATGACCTTAAAATATTTAATAAATGTCTTTCAATTTCCTTAAATTTATAATTGGGAAATAACTTTGCCCTTCCATCTTCTTCCTGGGACTCTGTGAAATTATTTCTATTATTAATATGTATGAATAATAAAATCTGACTTTTAAAGTGTTTTGTACTTTTTAAGTTATCTCATACAGCTTCAGACCAATCCTAAGAGATAGCTAAGCCAACTTATTAATTGGGTTATCATCCCCATTTTACAAATAAATTGGGTCCCACAGATATTAAATGACTTGTTAATATTTTCACAAAGAAAAATGATTTAAAAATAAAATGAGATATGATTTTATATAGAATTTCTTCATTTCTAAGATGCCATCAATGTTAAGACACACCAGTAATTCAGTAACAGCTTCCGAATGCTGAGGAGTTGAAGACACTGCACAATCACATAAATATTCACATTAATTTTAAAAATCATCTTTAATTCAGAAGCATTAAAATGTAAGAAAATGCCCTCCTTAATCTTAAATGCATAAAAGAAACTGCAAAACTGTTATTCTCTGGAGCATTTGATCTTGATTGCCAACATATGTTATATTTGGCTCAAATAAACTAAAAAAAAAAGTTCAAAAAAAATGAGAACATGTATGTCTTTGAATGAAGTAAATGCAGTAGAATAAGAAACTCTGGAAGAGTAACAAACCTCCAGTGTCTCCTAAGGAAAGTCAAATAATTTCTGCCAGTAAAATGATTACTTGAAGGGTATTTTTTTAAAGGTACCTATGTATCATTAGGAAAATCGTTTGACAAATCAAATATTGAGGAGTGTATCACATGTATAAAACAAATCTGATTTAGAGAATAGCTATATATATATATATATATATAATTTCAAAAAGATGAATCATTATTATGTATGTATGCTGAAATAATTCCTGTTTTTTAATCAAGAATATACAATATAGCCCTGACCGTTTCTGCGCAGTGGTTAGAGCATCAGCCCTCGCACCAAAAGGTCGAGGGTTTGATTCCCGGTCAGGGGCACATTCCTGGGTGAGTGCAAAAGGCAGCTAATCAATGTCTCTCTCTCACATCTCTCTCTCTCATCTCTCTCTCTCTCAGGGGCACATTCCTGGGTGAGTGCAAAAGGCAGCTAATCAATGTCTCTCTCTCACATCTCTCTCTCTCATCTCTCTCTCTCTGGGGCACATTTGTGTGTGAGAGTAAAAGGCAGCTAAACAATGTCTCTCTCTCACATCTCTCTCTCACATCTCTCTCTCTCTCTCTCTCTCTCTCTCTCTCTTTCTTCTCCTCCTCCTCCTCTCTCTCCTTTCCCCCCTCCCTCCCACTCTCTCTAGAAAATCAATGATGGGGGGAGGAGGACAGTATACAATATAGTCAATTTATGTATTCTGGTAACTGTGCACTAAAAATGCATAAACCAAAGCTGAGGTCCGTTCTCTCTGGATTTCAGATGCCAGAAAGTAAAGTAACTATAGTTATTTTATTACTAATTTTGTTCAGATTTTAAAATGCTCTCCCCATTCAATTTGTACATTTAGTCACAGAACAAGGTACACCTTAATTCAGAAAGAGATAAGGCATCAGCCCAGGCTTCAAAAATATTAAGTTCATATAGGTAGAAAGGTACAGGGAGAAAGAACTAATCTTTCTCAAATTCACTGAGCCACAGATATAAAAGCCTTTGAAATTATCACTCTTACTTATCATTTACCATTGTTCTGTACATGATCTTCCAGCACCTCATTTTTAAGAATCCCACAAAGTTCTGAAAGCGTCTCTAAGTGAATAACATGAATGATCAATGGCCTGAAGACATCATACAATGACACACACAGTTTCTCCAAAAGTTCACTAAAATAAAGAAAGAAACATGGTTTAGTAGCAATCTTTCCAGTTTAAAAGACATTTTTTATTATTTCCATCCAATAAACCTAGTAAAAAATCTACTAGGAAATAATATGGGGAACATTATATAATGAAGATGAAAGGCTCAAAATAATTCTGTAAAGTGCTATTTTAAAAGCCAAGAATCAGCCCTAACCGGTTTGGCTCAGTGGATAGAGCATCGGCCTGAGGACTGAAGAGTCCCAGGTTCAATTCCGGTCAAGGGCATGTACCTTGGTTGCGGGCACATACCCAGTAAGGAGTGTGCAGGAGGCAGCTGATCGATGTTTCTCTCTTATCGATGTTTCTAACTATACCTCTCCCATCCTTTCTGTAAAAAATCAATAAAATATATTTTAAAAATAAAAAATAAATAAAAGCCAAGAATCAATAAACAATGAGCAATCAATTCAAATTAGCTGCCTCCAGCCAAATGTCAATTCATTACAACTTTTACTTATTTCAGTAATAACTTTGTATATGTCCCTTCAAACACAATAAAAAGTAATCAGTAGACTTAATTATCATTTTATATTCTACATCACTGTGAATCAAATGATAACATTTTCCCCAGGAAAGATACATTCAGAATTCTTGAATACTTGCAGATTCAGATTAACAAAACTCAAAGTACTCTGGACATGCAAGTATTTTGACAAAAACATTTGAAAAGAAAAAACTATGTTGTCTACATTATTCATATTGTCAATAGTATTCTTCTATATGCAGTATTTCATCAAAAGTGATCAACCCAGACTAACTGGTTTGGCTCAATGGATAGAGCGCCGGCCTGTGGACTGAAGGGTCCCAGGTTCGAGTCCAGACAAGGGCTACCTTGGTTGCGGACACATCCCCAGTAGGGAGTGTGCAGAAGGCAGCTAAATTGATGTTTCTCTCTTATCAATGTTTCTAACTCTCTATGCCCCTCTCCCTTTCTCTCTGTAAAAAAAAAAAAAGTGATCAACCCAATCAAAACGGTACAATACACTTGTCTCTTCACCATTATAAGGATCACAGTCTTGGACTCTTTATAGCAGTCCAAACTGCCAATAAGAAGAAACCGAAAGTTAGTAACAGTGGATCGGAAAGACACTTTGGAAAAACTTTTTAAAAAGGATATTAAGCAGTGTCTGTATTTTTAAGTGTCTTTCATTAGTTAGAAACACAGAATTTTTTAACTGGAAGGATTTATTTACTTGGTGGAGATAAAGGGATCCCAAGACTTAGTTCTCTATATAGGATTCTTACTATCATACCATACTATCTCCATAATTATAACAATATGAAAGCATGTTGGCCTTTAAATTACACATATTCATCTTAAAATAAATAAACACTGTCCCACTCGACAGTATTCTGTTCACACACCCACAAAAGTTAAAACACTCTGCAGTTAATTTAAGAATACTCCCATGTAATAATAAGCCATTATGATCATTAGCAAATTAAATCTTAAAAGCAAGAGTTAAACTCTGTGTACTACCTACTCTAATTTTGATGTTGGTTTTGTGAAAAATTCATTGTAAAGTTGGTGCTCATCCTGGCACACATGGACCATAAAGGCACAGCCACTGCGAATCTGTAGGAAACAAATACACACCACCTACAGTTAAAGACACATAACAATTCTAGCATTCATGAAATAAAGCAAGTATTTTATTGAAAAAGAGATTATGCATATATATTCATATAACAAGTTACTTAAGCACAGAAAATTAATGGTTTTCAATAGCTGACTGCATAATGTAAATATGGATGATTTTTATTTTCTTCATTATGCATTTTCTAAACGTATGACAATGAAAATAAATTACTTTTCTAGTTGAATAGGGGTACTTAAAAAGAATCTTTATGTACTTTTTTAATAGAATAAATTAAAATCACACTAAACAGAAAAGCACTTGTGCAGCAAAAGCTATGATAGATCCACAAACTTGAAACTTCATCTTTCTAGGAACAATACTTGTTTGTGAATCTTCATAGGTCAAAAAATAGATCAAAATGAGAATATTTTGCCAAGTTGAAGGCTAATTACAACCTAGATTTGTCATAACTGAAAGAAAAATTCTCTAAGTTTGTATCTATGGAAAACAAAACTTATTTAGCCAAATATAGCTTCTAGGGTATCAAAATATTTCAGAGGAAGGGTTAATATTAAACCAAAACAAGCAGAAACTTACCAAGGCACAATGATCTCTATTATTCTGGCTGGTTAACTCTGTTACAGTACAAGTAATACTAGGCCCCAAAAGGAGCTCCCGCTGATCAAGGTAACATTGGTGGATGTCATTTAGCAATTGTTGGTATCTGGTGAAAAACAAATGAGATGGGTATAAATTTTTGATTTCAGATATATAAATTAAATCTGATCTTAAGTCCCAGATTAGGTTGCCAAACCTCTAATGCTATAAGGTCACCTCTCATTTGCTCACATTAAATACTAGAAATATTTATCTATATTAATAATCTATACTAATAAAAAGGGTAATATGCTAATTAGACCGGACAACTTCTGGACATCCTTCCGGACAAAGTCACGGTGGCAGGGGCCAAGGCAGAGGTGGTTAGAGGTGATCAGGCCAGCAAGGGGGAGCCGTTAGGAGGCGGTCAGGCCAACAGGGGGGAGTAGTTAGGGGGCAACCAGGCCAGCATGGGAGCAGTTAGGGGGTAATCAGGCCAGCAAAGGAGCAGTTAAGAGGAGATCAGGCTGGCAGGGGAGCAGTTAGGTGGCAATCAGGCCGGCAGGGGAGGGCAGTTAGGGGCGATCAGGCTGGCAGGCAGAGGTGGTGAGGGTCCATCAGGCCACCAGGGGAGCAGTTAGGGGTGATCCAGCAGGCAGGCAGAGGCAGTGGGGGGCAATCAGGCCAGCAGGGGAGCAGTTACGGGCAATCCGGCAGGCAGGCAGAGGCAGTTAGGGGCGATCAGGCAGGCAGGCAGGGAAGCGGGGAGGAGCCAGCACTCAGGGAGGCAGAGAGGGA